GTCCTCTGATTAAAGCATTATTCTAACCTTCTTCAGTATAAATGTGTTTACATATCCTTCCAATAATAATAGAGTAAAATAATAAATATAATAATAATAGAGTAAAATAATAGAAATGTAATAACAGTAATAATAGAGTAAAATAATAAATGTAATAATAGCAATAATAAAGAATAAAAGAATAAATGTAAGAATAATAATAGAGTAAAATGATTAATGTAATAATAATAATAATAATAATAGAGTAAGAGAATAAAAAACCTTGACTCGAGTATAAGCCGAGGGAGACATTTTTCAGCCTAAAAAAAGGACTGAAAAACTAGGCTTATACTCGAGTTTATACAGTACTCGAGTATAAGATGAGTTTTTCAGTCCTTTTTTTAGACTGTAAAAGCCTGCTTTGACTTATACTCGAGTCAATGTTACAGTGCTCACTCACTTATCGCTAATGTTATGTTCCAAGCCCACCCGTGAAAAGTGAAAATCCGCAAAGTAGGGATGCTATATATGTATATCGCATTCTGAGGGTGAGGCAGAAGCGAGGAGAGATTTAAAAGCACCACACACTTTTTTTTTGCTAGCTATCTCCGATTTGCTTTGCAATCTCTCTTGACTGGCTGCCCCTCTCCCAAGGGGGAGGGTGGGGGCCCCTTCCACCCTCCATCATTGCCAGGAGGAGGGATTAAAACGCCGCTTTGGGCAAAGGCAACCATTCATTAACTGGGAGGCAAAAACCCGTGAAACAGCGAGTCTGCGAAAAGCGAACCGTGAAGTAGAGAGGGAACACTGTATTCTCGATTGTCTATCTTGGACGGTGCAGTGGGTTAAACGGCTGCACTGCTGAACTTGTTGACCGAAAGGTTGCAGGTTCGAACCCAGGGAGTGGGGTGAGCTGTCAGCCCCAGCTTCTGCCAACCTAGCAGTTCGAAAGCATGCAAATGTGAGTAGATCAATAGGTACCACTCTGACGGTAAGGTAACAATGGTCCATGCAGTCATGCTGGCCACATGATCTTGGAGGCGTCTGTGGACAATGCCAGCTCTTTGACTTAGAAATGGAGATGAGCATCAACCCCCAGAGTCAGACATGACTGGACTTAATGTCAAGGAAAAACATGTACCTGCACCTGTATCTCTGCTTTGCTTTGCAATCTCTCTTGATTGGCTGCCTCTCTCCCAAGGGGGAGGGTGACCCCCTTCTACACCCCATCGTTGGCAGGAGGTGGGATTAGAAGTCCACTCTGGGCAATGGCAGCCATTCATAAACTGGGAGGCAAAAACCTCTGAAGCAGCGAGTCCACAAAAAGCGAACTGTGAAGTAGTGAGGGAACACTATTATTTTTCTCTGTTATTATTATTATCATTATTATTACATTTTTATTCTACTCTATTTATTATTACAGTAGAGTCTCGCTTATCCAACCTTCGCTCATCCAACGTTCTGTATTATCCAACGCAATCTGCCTCCCGCTTGGAATAATGTCTAGGGTTGGAGAAAGAAAGAACCCTTGTCTGTTTTGGTTCTAAATTCGTAAATACAGTATTCACTACGTAACATTACTGTGTATTGAACTGCTTTTTCTGTCAATTTGTTGTAAAACTTGATGTTTTGGTGCTTAATTTGTAAAATCATAACACAATTTGATGTTTAATAGGCTTTTCCTTCCATTTCTCTCCTGCACAGCTACCGCAGCCCGAGTTGTTGACAAATTTGACGAAGCTGCCCTTGAAGAGGATGGCTTTCCTGTGGGCCACATACGGAAAGCGATTTCTGCAGACCTCTTGGATACGGATAAGCGATACCATGGGAAGGCCACGTCCCGAAAGGCCTTGGAGGAAGAGCTGTGGGGAGAACCCCCTCTCTCAGGTAAGGCTCTGTGCCCCTTTGGTTGCCTTTATTTCCATCCCAAACTCCCTCACCTTTGCTTCGAGATCTTCACAGTTGTCTGTGTGTCTCCTGCAATGTTTTATCCAGTTTTCAAACATCTGTGCCAAGTGAAGACAACTTTCAAATTTTCTTAATTTGAGAATCGTCGTAGCTTGCTGTCTATGTCCTTTCATAAACTTTACCACTATTCATTGCCTGGAATCTACTGCATAAAAGACAGTATTCAAATGTAATATTATTTGGTGTGTGTTCCAGTGCTGCTCGTGATCTCCCGAAACCTTGATGTAATATTTTCCTGTTGCCAGAGGTTCATTATCAAGTCTTCATCAGAGAGAAATTGGCAGCCTGTTTTTCGCCCTGATGGATCTCTCAGGAATTGTATCTTCCTTTCTCTTGTGCAATTCTCTCCTTCCTGCCTGTATAGAGATGTGTGCGAGGGGGCTTGATCACCTTATAATGCTCACCCATTATCTCATTATTGAATGGGAAAGGCTGTCAGCTAATCAATGGGTCTGATAATCATTTCGCCACTGCAGCGGGGCGGCAGACTGGAAGTTTGAGGTTTCAATCTGAGAAGGAGTTACTAATTGTTCCCAGCCTCAAATTGTTGAAATTGAGATATGTTGGCACAGCACTGAAGAAGTTAGAAAAAGACTGAGATGTTGTGTGTTTTCCGGACTGTATGGCCATATTCCAGAAGCATTCTCTCCTGAAGTTTTGCCTGCATCTGGGGCAGGCATTCTCATAGATGGCGCACTGGGTTAAACCCTTGTGCAGGCAGGATTGAAGACTGACAAGTTCAGAGAGTGCGGATGAGCTCCCTCTGTCAGCTCCAGCTCCCCATGTGGGGACATGAGAGAAGCCTCCCACAAAGATGGCAAAACATCAAAACATCTGTGCGTCCATGGGCGACATGCCTTGCAGACGGCTAATTCTCTCCCACCAGAAGTGATTTGCAGTTTCTTAAGTCGCTCCTCACACAACAAAAAGCTCCATAGATGCAGGCATAAGGTCAATAGAGAATGCTTCTGGAACATGGCCATACAGCCCGGAAAACACACTACAATCCAATGATTCTGGCCATGAAAGCCTTCGACAATACTTAGAAAAGACATCCCACTGTTTTTAATTGTGTGTTGATAATCTTGTGTATTTTATTGTTTATGTTTTTTAATTGCTTGTATTGTTTTTATTATTGCTTGTATTGTTGTGTTTGGGCTCGGCCTCATGTGTCTGAACCCAAGGGGCAGCTGGGCTTTCCACAGAAGTTGAGGAAGCAGGAACCCATTTTGTTTCCTTCTGCTTCAGGGTAAGCTTTGTTTAAATTTAACTGCTTTCAGCACTGCTGTGTTTGAGAGGGGGGGCTTCCTGAGTTTAAAATTAACTGCTTTGTTTGAGAGGCGGGGCTTCCTGAGTTTAAAAATTAACTGCTTTGTTTGAGAGGCAGGGCTTCCTGAGTTTAAAAATTAACTGCTTTGTTTGAGAGGCAGGGCTTCCTGAGTTTAAAAATTAACTGCTTTGTTTGAGAGGCAGGGCTTCCTGAGTTTAAAAATTAACTGCTTTGTTTGAGAGGCAGGGCTTCCTGAGTTTAAAAATTAACTGCTTTGTTTGAGAGGCGGGGCTTCCTGAGTTTAAAAATTAACTGCTTTGTTTGAGAGGCAGGGCTTCCTGAGTTTAAAAATTAACTGCTTTGTTTGAGAGGCGGGGCTTCCTGGTTATCCTATATAAACCAGTGTCGCGCGCGCCTGACGCCGCGCGCGAACTCGTACACTCAGTAACCTATACTTTCACCCCTGCATACAGACAACACCAAACACACACCAAGAGGAGGTCATTAGCAACCTCCAGATGGAACAAACACGAAAACTTCCCGTCTCATGCACAAGCTGTGGCATGTTCAGCTTTTTCACACTACCATTACTCAATTACATCTGCCCCAAGTGTAAACAGATCACTCGCATGGAACACAGGATACGACAACTCGAGGACCGTATTAAGACCCTTAAGGACATTCAGGAACTTGAGCTGTTCTTAGACACCACACACCACACTGTCCTAGACACGCAGCCCATATCACACCAACATTATGGGGAGGCTCAACAGAACAGCACCTCAGATGTGGACAACCCTCAGGCTTGGAGAAATGTCACCCTTAGAAGGACACATAGGACCCGGAATCCTCCTCAGAATACTTCCGCTCAGCTGCAGTTACACAATAGATTCCAAATTCTCACACAACTAGCACCTGACCAAGAAACACAACATATTGGGGAAGACCAGAATGGCTTAGATACTGATCAGTGGCTCATCCTTGATCAGTGTGCGGGGGATAACCCTGACTGGGACAACACTTCACAACATTCACACTTGCACAATCCTGCAGGTGTACCATCCCCAACCATAGACCAGGTGCAACAGGAACACATACAGGAGAACCATAGGCTCTTGGACGAATCTCAATGGATTGTCCTTGACGAATGCACCGGGGATGTCGAGGAGGAGGACAACACTTTTCACCTACACAATTCACACCAACAGGATCACTTTTCTGGAGACCTACACACTACATTGCACAAAAGGGGCCCTGTCATTCCCGAAAGTAAACAGGTCTTGGTAGTAGGCGACTCCCTCCTTAGAGGAACGGAAGCCGTCATTTCCAGACCAGATGGGATGGCTCGAGAAATATGCTGCCTACCGGGGGCAAAAATACACCATATCACTCAGAGGCTCACCAGGCTCCTCAAGCCCTATCACTGTCCTCCCCTCATGTTGATTCATGTAGGAACCAACGATACTGCAAGGCATACGTTTCAAAAGATCACAAATGATTTTCGAGCTCTAGGAGCAAAGCTAAAAGAATGTAATGTACAGGTGGTCTTTTCATCCCTCCTCCCTGTTGTAAGACACGGACCCACAAGAGCCAGAAAAATAGTACAGGTCAATGACTGGCTTAGAAAATGGTGTCAGGAGGAACGCTTTGGCTTCCTCGACCATGGCCTGCTTTTCCAGGAGGATGGCCTACTGGCAAGGGATGGGGTGCATCTCACACAAGTAGGAAAACACCTTTTTGCTCACAGACTCGCAAACCTCATTAGACGCACTTTAAACTAGGTCCACCGGGGGAGGGGGACAACAGCCTTGCGAACACTACTTTACCCATAATGTCTGGGAATCGCCAGAAGGCTAAACGGAGGGCTGCACAAACACAACAAGGACCAAGTACCAAAAGCACAATAATCCCAATTAAACAGCTCAAGGGAAGATCTCAGGGGCTCACATGTCTTTACACTAATGCACAGAGCATGGGAAATAAACAAGACGAACTCCAACTTTTAGCACAACACCACAAATATGATATCATAGGGATCACTGAAACCTGGTGGGATGACTCCTATCGCTGGAATGTAGATATCGAGGGGTATAACCTCTTTCACAGAAACCGAACAAAGGGGAGAGGAGGCGGAGTAGCCTTATATGTCAAAAACTCTTATGCTGCAGAAGAGATTCAAGACAGCAATCTGGGAAACCAGCTTGAAATCATCTGGATAAGAATCAAGGGAACTGGGACTCAAAAAGATGTCGTTGTAGGCGTCTACTACAGACCCCCAAGCCAGGAGGAAGAACTTGATGAAGTCTTCTGCCAACAGTTGACCAAACAGGCACAGAAAAGAGATGTAGTAGTCATGGGCGATTTCAACTATCCCGATATTTGCTGGAAAACAAACTCGGCCAAGAGTACAAGGTCCAACAAATTCCTCGCTTGCCTTGCAGACAATTTCATGGTCCAGAAGGTAGAAGAGGCAACAAGGGGATTGGCTACTCTTGATCTCATCCTAACAAATGCGGAGGACCTGATCGATGCGGTCGAAGTGGTAGGATCCTTAGGGGCAAGTGACCATGTGCTCCTGCAATTTGAGGTACAAAGGAAGGCCGAAACTAAGACAAGTCAAACCCGCATTTTGGACTTTAGGAGAGCTGATTTCCAAAAAATGAAGGAAACGCTGAGCAGCATTCCGTGGACACAGATACTAAAAGACAAGGGAGTTATGGATGGATGGGAATTTCTCAAGAGTGAAATACTCAAGGCGCAATTGCAAACGTGCCAACAAAGAGAAAAAATAGGACAAGTGCAAAGAAGCCAGAATGGATGTCCAAAGAACTTCTAACTGTGCTAAGACACAAAAGAGACATGCACAAGAAGTGGAAAAAGGGAGAAATCACCAAAGAAGAATTCAAACAAATAGCCAACACCTGTAGGGAAAAGGTCCGCAAGGCTAAAGCAAAAAACGAGCTCAGACTTGCCAGGGACATTAAAAACAATAAAAAGGGCTTCTATTCTTATGTCAGTAGAAAAAGGAAAAACAAGGAGGCGATAGGACCTCTTCGCGGAGAAGATGGGGCAATGCTGACAGGGGATAGGGAAAAGGCAGAACTACTTAATGCCTTCTTTGCCTCGGTCCTCTCACAAAAAGAGCGTCTTCAACCTCAGCAAGATGGAGTGGATGAGGGATTGGAGGACATCCAACCCCAAATTGGGAAAGAAGTCGTCCAGGAATACCTGGCCGCTCTTAATGAGTTCAAGTCCCCAGGGCCAGATCAACTACACCCCAGAGTATTGAAGGAACTAGCGGAAGTCATTTCGGAACCATTGGCAACCATCTTTGAGATTTCTTGGAGAACGGGAGAAGTTCCAGCAGATTGGAGGAGGGCCAATGTGGTCCCAATCTTCAAGAAGGGAAAAAAGGATGACCCAAACAACTACCGTCCGGTCAGCCTCACGTCGATACCAGGCAAGATTCTGGAAAAGATTGTTAAGGAAGCGGTCTGCAAACACTTAGAAACAAATGCGGTCATCGCTAATAGTCAACATGGATTTATCAAAAACAAGTCATGCCAGACTAATCTGATCTCTTTCTTCGATAGAGGTACAAGCTGGGTAGATGCGGGGAATGCCGTGGATGTAGCGTACCTGGATTTCAGTAAGGCCTTCGACAAGGTCCCCCATGACCTTCTGGCAAGGAAACTAGTCCAATGTGGGCTAGGCAAAACTACGGTGAGGTGGATCTGTAATTGGTTAAGTGGACGAACACAGAGGGTGCTCGCCAATGCTTCCTCTTCATCTTGGAAAGAAGTGACAAGTGGAGTGCCGCAGGGTTCCATCCTGGTCCTGGTCCTGGTTCTGTTCAACATCATTATTAATGACTTAGATGAAGGGTTAGAAGGTATGATCATCAAGTTTGCAGGCAACACCAAATTGGGAGGGAGAACCAATATGCCAGAAGATAAGAGCAGAATTCAAAACGATATGAATAGATTAGAGAGATGGGCCAAAACTAACAAAATGAAGTTCAACAGTGACAAATGCAGGATACTCCACTTAGGCAGAAAAAAATGAAATGTAAATATACAGAATGGGGAAATGCCTGGCTCGAGAGCAGTACGTGTGAAAAAGATATTGGAGTCCTCGTGGACAACAAGTTAAACATGAGCCAACAATGTGATGTGGCGGCAAAAAAAGCCAATGGGATTTTGGCCTGCATCAATAGAAGTATAGTGTCTAGATCTAGGGAAGTAATGCTACCCCTCTATTCTGCTTTGGTTAGACCACACCTGGAATATTGTGTCCAATTCTGGGCACCACAATTCAAGAGAGATATTGACAAGCTGGAATGTGTCCAGAGGAGGGCGACTAAAATGATCAAGGGTCTGGAGAACAAGCCCTATGAGGAGCGGCTTAGGGAACTGGGCATGGTTAGCCTGAAGAAGAGAAGGCTGAGAGGAGATATGATAGCCATGTATAAATATGTGAGAGGAAGCCACAGGGAGGAGGGAGCAAGCTTGTTTTCTGCTTCCTTGGAGACTAGGACGCGGAACAATGGCTTCAACTACAAGAGAGGAGATTCCATCTGAACATGAGGAAGAACTTCCTGACTGTGAGAGCGTTCAGCAGTGGAACTCTCTGCCCCGGAGTGTGGTGGAGGCTCCTTCTTTGGAAGCTTTTAAACAGAGGCTGGATGGCCATCTGTCAGGGGTGATTTGAATGCAATATTCCTGCTTCTTGGCAGGGGGTTGGACTGGATGGCCCATGAGGTCTCTTCCAACTCTTTGATTCTATGAATTCTATGAATCTATGAATTCTATGTTAGCCGCACCGAGTCCCTTGGGGAGATGGTAGCGGGGTACAAATAAAGTGATATTATTATTATTATTATTGTGGCTCCTGTTGATTACACTATGTCACAAAAGTTGAAAAATCTTCTGTTCCTGGTTTGGTTATTTCCTGTTTAATTGTGCGGTCCTTACTTTGAAAGGAGTTGTTTGACTACAGAAACTTAATTTTTGTGCCTGCCACAAACTATGTTGAATAGGTTGGGATTCTATGATGTACAATGTTCCTTCACCAGTTCGCTTACCGCAGACTCACTGTTTTGCGGTTTTCTCTGAGTAGCCCTCGAGATTTTTCCTTCACGGCCTGCGAGGCAAGCCTGATGCCCCCACATCCATCCATCTCCTCCTCCTCGCCTTCCTTCCCTCCCTCCTTCCTTGCCTTCCTTCCACCACCATGGTGGGCTTCTTCTTCCCAGCAGCCCTCTCGGCAGCGGGAGAAGTTCCAGTGAGGTGGCCAGCTAATGGGAGGTGGACACTGCTTCCTCTTGATTGGCTGGGCTGGCCACCCTCGGGAGCTCCGGGTAGCCTTCAAAAGGGCTGCGGAAGGCCTCCACCAAAGAGGGAGGAGTGCCGCTGTCGTCCTTCATCGTAGGCTTGCTCGCCCATGTCCAGCTGCGGCGCTCAGCTAGGAGGAGGGCAGTGGTTGGCTGGGACGAAGGATCACAAAGCTAGAATCATAGACTCATAGAGTTAGAAGAGACCTCATGGGCCATCCAGTCCAACCCCCTGACAAGAAGCAGGAATATTGCATTCAAAGCACCCCTGACAGATGGCCAACTACCCTCTGTTTAAAAGCTTCCAAAGAAGGAGCCTCCACCACACTTGGGTCAGAGAGTTCCACTGCTGAACGGCTCTCACAGTCAGGAAGTTCTTCCTCATCCCTCTTTGGCGGAGGCCTCCCAGAGAGAAGCCCCAGGCCTCTGAGGAAGAGGAGGAGGAGAGGAGCCAGGCACTGGGCCTTACTGCAGCCCAGAGACAAGAATCAGGGTAAGGCCCAACGACTGGCTCCCCTCCTCTTCCTTCTCCTCTTCCTCCTCCTCTTCCAACTGTGGCGCTCGGTGAGGAAGAGGAGGGTGGTGCTTGACCGGGGTGAAGGATGACGGCGCCATTCCTCCTTCTTTGGCGGAGGCCTCCCGAAGACAAGCCTCAGGCCTCCAAGGAGGAGAGCCAGTCACTGAGCCTTACCCTGGGGCTTGTCTCCTTGCTGGGGTAAGACCCAGTGCCTGGCTCCCTTCCTCCTCCTCTTCCTCAGAGGTCTGGGGCTTGTCTCCTGGAGGTCTCCGCCGAAGAGGGAGGAGTGCTGTCATTGTCCTTCATCCCGGCCAAGCATCACCCTCTTTCGACTCGCTGAATGCCGCAACCAGACATGGGTAAGCAAGCCAACGATGAAGGCCGCTGCTGCCACTCCTCCCTCTTTGGTGGAGGCCTCCCGGAGACAAGCCCCAGGCCTCCGAGGAAGAGGAGGATGAAGAGGTAGAGGAGGAGGAGGAAAAGAGGAGCCAGACCCCAGCCCGGAAATAAGCCCCCCCAGTCCCTCTCCCCCTACCCCCCACCCCGCCCCCCCCCCCCACTTCCCCCGCTGCTGCACGCACACCCCCGCCCCACCCCACCCCCCCCCCCCCCCCCACCCCCCCCCGCACGCCCCCCCCCCCGCCCCCCCCCCCCCCCCCCACCCCCCCCCCCCCCCCCCACCACACAACCCCACGCTCCATCACTCCCCCCGCCGCCGCGCACACACACGCAACCCCCCGCTCCCTCCCCCCCCCCCCCCACCCTGGGCCTTACCCCAGCCCGGAAATAAGCCCCAGGGTAAGGCCCAGTGACTGGCTCCCCCTCCTCTCCTCCTCCTCCTCCTCTTCCTCATCCCTACCAACTGGCTCCCCTTCCTCTTCTCCTCCTCCTCCTCCTCTTCCTCATCTCTACCGACTGGCTCCCCCTCCTCTTCTCCCTTTCCTTCTCCTCTTCCTCGTCCCTACATAAGTGGTTTTTCACTTATCGCGGGGAACGGAACCCCCACGATAAGTGAGGGAACATTTTATTCAGTGAAAAAATAAAGCAAAATATGCTGCAGGATGTCCTGCAAAAACAAAGTTTTGGCAGTGTCATAAACTTATTTCCATGTTTTTATGATAGAACCAATTAGGAAATGAGATTTCTAATCCCGGAACAAAAATTGTGTTACCTAACAATATTTTTTAAACGGACATCTATGGCAATAGAGAAATGAATGCTAAATGATATTTATTGTAAATGTTGACAACGGAGAATTGAAATTGTATTATTATGTTTTTATTAGCTTTATTGTTATTCCATCTTTCTTTCAGTAACATATACTGAACATGCAATATGGACTGGCATTAATTGTTGCTTCTTTACCCCCAATAGATGAACACATTTCAGACGAGGAGGAAATGACAGCTGAAGATGACCTTGGCAGTGACTCTCTTGAGGAGGACTTAGATGAGGATGCTGCAGAAATGGAGGAGGAAGAGGAGGGTGAAGTGATCATTACTGGCCAAAAGGAAAAGAAAGTCTCCTCCGAGGACCAGAAGAAATCATCTTTCAGTTTCCAGGCTATTGATGATTTTGAGAAATTTGCAGAGGGGATGGATGAAATGGTGAGTGAGGATGAGGAAGATGCCGACACGGAAGAGAGCGATGAAGATGGAAGGAGCTCGGAGGAGAGTTTTGATGAGAGCAAGGAGGAGACGGCGGGTGAGGATGAAGGCAAAGGCAACAGGGCACTGTTGACATTCTCTGAAGACAGAGTGGTTGAAGAAGTCGCTAGAGGAAAAGCCGTGAAAAATCAGATAGGTCAGTTGATGGGATGTTTTTCCTTGGGAGATGGTGTTTGGGTATCTGGCTGCTTAGAGAGTCGGTGACACGTTTTCTCGTAGAAGTGAGGACTATACCAAATCAACATGGACAAATTTACCCATTTTAGTCATCTCACATTATTTACCGTATATACTCGAGTATAAGCTGAGTTTTTCAGCTCATTTTTAGGCTGAAAAAGCCTCCCTCGGCTTGAACTCGAGTCAGTTATTTATTATTTTACTCTGTTATTATTATTATTATTACATTTTTATTTGACTATTTATAATAATAATAATAATAATAATTACTTTAACATTTTATTATATTATTATTTTATTACATTTATTATTTTATTCTATTATTATTATTACAAGCATTATTTTACTCTATTTATTGTTATTACATTTATTATTTTACTCTAATATTATTATTACATGCGTTATTTTACTCTACTTATTATTACATTTATTATTTTATTCTATTATTATTATTTTACTCTATTTATTATTATTTGAAACACAACAAGAGTTTTATGTAAATATTCAGAAAAACATTTTACCTATGGATGCCTCAATTAATGTAATTATATTGGTATTTATTATTATTTTGAAATTTACCATTAGCTGCTGTATTTTCTATCCTTGGCTTATACTCAAGTCAATATGTTTTCCTAGTTTTTTGTGGTAAAAATAGATGCCTCAGCTTATATTCGGGTATATGTGTGTGTGTGTGTGTGTGTATATATATATATAATTTATTTATTTATGACATGTATGTACCACCCTTCTCACCCCAAAGGGGACTCAGAGCAGCTTACAAGATATATATACATACAATATATTATATTATTAGCACAGTACAATATCAGTATTATATATTACTAATTGTACTATACCATTATATTGTAATATTATTAGTAATATTACATGTAATATAAAATATATAATGATAATATTGTATTATTATTAGTGTTATATTAGTAATACATAGTAATATATTTATTTATTTATTACTTATTTATTACTGTGCTTATATACCGCCGTTTCTCAGCCTAAATCGGCGACTCAACGCGGTATATGGTAATTGTGTTTAGCCTTGATTTCAGCAATGACGGTGTTTGTCTCAAAGTTTAAGGAGTCAATATGGGAGCCATCTCGCTGTATGTTTCTCATAATCCGGTAATCCTGGAGTGTTTGTTTTGAAGCCCTTTGCATGCCAGAGATGAGCAATTATTTATGTACCGTATTTATATTCCGCCCTTCTCACCCCGCAGGGGATTCAGGGCGGATTACAATGTACATAATTATGGCAGAGTCCTGTTTCCTACTTCTGGAAACTCTCTCACAGTCACACAGATTGCTAAAATTAGAACAAATCAATCGAAAAAACATTCAGAATCATGGTTGTCATTTTTGTCTGAACGACCTGGATGCAGAAACATGGGCAACTGTTAAAGCTATGTTTTTTTTCATTTCCCTCCTTTCCTAAAGCTCTCTGGGATCAGCTCCTGGAAGGACGGATAAAACTGCAGAAAGTCCTCTTGACAGCCAACCAGCTTCCACAACCGGATACCTTTCCCGAGTTTAAGAACAGAGGAGGGCCGGAGTTTGCCGAAGCGCTCAAGAACAGTAAGGGTTTTGTTTGTTACTTCCTTGATTGTAGGAGCCTTCCGCCATCTTTAGATTAGGCTGTGTAACAAAATGTGAAGAATTTTCTGTTTCTGGTTTGAAAGTTTTATTCCTAAAATGGGGCCACAAAGTGGAGTCCACAACATGCGAGTGTGGAGAAAAGCCAACCACAGACCACCTATTATGATGCAACTTGAGCCCTGCCACATGCACAATGGAGGACCTCCTTATAGCAACTTCAAGTGGCCAGCTTCTGGCCAAAGGACATTTAGTATCATACCAAGTTTTGAAACTTTGTGTTTTCGAGAAACATTACAACTGTAGCCTTAGTTCGCTTCTGATACGATAAATTAATTAATACCACCCTGTGGATGGCTTTTCTCCACTTTGGGCGTATTGGGTATTTGGTCTAGTGAATGAAAATAACCCTGCATATATTTACATGACAATTCACAACAGTAGCAAAATGACAGTTATGAAGTAGCAACGAATATAATGTTATGGTTGGGGGTCACCACAACATGAGAAACTGTATTAAGGGATCGCGGCATTAGGAAGGTTGAGGACCACTGGTCTGTAACAGCCTATGTACATATAGAATGGGACTCAAAATATGCATCTTCCATCTGAACATGAGGAAAAACTTCCTGACTGTGAGTGCTGTTTAGCAGTGGAACTCTCTGCCCTGGAGTGTTGTGGAGGCTCCTTTGGAGGCTTTTAAACAGAGGCTGGATGGCCATCTGTTGGGGGTGCTTTGAATGCAATTTTTCTGCTGCTAGRCAGAATGAGGTTGGACTGGACTGCCCATGAGGTCTCTTCTAACTCTGTGATTCTATCTTATCTACTAGCCGTCCCCTGCCACACGTTGCTGTGGCCCAGTCTGTGTATATATGTGTGTATATATTTGTGTATATTTGTCTGTTTGYGTATATATATGTGGTTTTGCACATGTGTTGTATATGGTCTCTTTTGCTGTGTTTTGCAGTGTTTTATGAGGGATGGTCACTCATTGGACTGATAGGTGTATTTTGTCCAAATTTGGTGTCAATTCACCCAGTGGTTTTTGAGTTACGTTAATACCACAAATGAACATTACATTTTTATTTATATACTAGCCATCCCCTGCCACGCGTTCCTGTTGCCCAGTCTGTGTATATGTGTTTTGTGTGTGTATATCTGTGTGTATATATTTGTGTATGTGTATATATGTATGTGTGTGTGTGTGTGTGTGTGTGTGTGTGTGTGTATATATATATATATATATATGGTTTTGTGCGTACGTTGTAATGTATTTTTTTATTTTTTGGCTTTTTAAGTCTCTTCTGCTGTGTTTTTCAGTGTTTTTATGAGTGGTGGTCACTCATTGGCCTGATATGCGTATTGTGTCCAAATTTGGTGTCAATTTGTCCAGTGGTTTTTGAGTTATGTTAATCCCACAAACGAACATTACATTTTTATTTATATAGATGTATGCATTCGAAGAGCATTAGGAAGGTTGAGAAATGCTGATCCAAAGCAACCTTGCCCAACATGACAAACTTTTAAGTATTGATGGAGTTTCAGGGAGTTAACCTAGCATGATGTGAGTTGTAGTTCACCCCCACCTTATGCATTTTGTAAAATAAAGAAATGACTTCTAAAATCCTGGGCAATGCCAGGGACTATGAATAAGATCGCAAAGGTTGCTTACCAGAGTACAATCCCAATTGGCTAGCCAACAATATAAGTGTTTTCTCCGTAAGTTTGGAGACATGTTTTCTGCTTCGCATTCAAGTGTCGCTTTAAGCCCAGTTTCCTTTCTCCCCCTCGAAGTGTTCTTTCTTGTTTTTGGTTTGAAAGGCAAAGTCCCGCCAATAGTGAGATTGACCTTTGAGTAAAACGCGTGCCATTAAAGTATTTAATGAGATGCATTACAAACTGTAGTGAGCGGCGTGTTTCATTATAGGTCCGGAAGCGGCGATATCATTAAAGACCTTTAGCAGAAACAATGGTTGACATTTTGATATTTCCCATAAGCAAAACAGAGTTGCGAACATTGACTTTAATACATAAATTCTGAAAAGAGCGATGATTTCATATATGATAACATATTTTAATGCTTTAAATAAGAAACCCATTGTGGCAGATTGGGATGCAGGTGGGGGGAAATCAAGCATTTTGCCTTACCTCCTGTTGAGGGTTTCTTGTAGCTCAATAACATCAGATTGTCTAATTAAAAAGCCAGTTAAAAGGAACTCTTTCCTGGCTTAACTTTGCTGATTGGGATTCAGAAAACTTCTTAGTGTAACAGTTATCCTTAGTTCAATTTTATTCAAATGTTTATAGAATTGTCATTCAGTTGCCCTAAAGCAACGTTTCTCAACCTGGGGGTAAGCGGTCTCAGAGGGGTTGCCAAAGACCATCAGTAAACAAAGTATTTTCTGTTCTGTGTGGGAAGTTTGGTTCAATGCTGTCATTGATGGGGTTCAGAAATGCTCTTTGATTGTAGGTGAACTATAAATCCCAGCAACTCCCAAATGTCAAGATCTATTTTCCCAAAATTCCACCAGTGTTCACATTTGGGCATATGTGTGCCAAGTTTGGTCCAGATCCATCATTGTTTGAGTACGCAGTGCTCTCTGGATGTAGGTGAACTACAACTCCAAAATTCAAGGTCAATGCCCACCAAACCCTTCCAGTATTTTTTATTTGTCATGGGAGTTCTGTGTGTCGAGTTTGTTTCAATTTTATCGTTTGTAGAGTTCTGGATACTCTTTGATTCTTGGTGAACTATAAATTTCAGTAACCACAACTCCCAAATGTCAAGGTTTGTTTTTCCCAAACTCCATCAGTGTTCACATTTGGGGATATTAAGTATCCATGCCAAGTTTTTCAGGATATTAAGTATCAAATTTTTCAAATTATAATCCGGCCCTCCAACTGTTTGAGGGACTGTGACCTGGCCCTCTGTTAAAAAGTTTGTGGACCACTGTTATAGTAACACCAGAGGCACTCCAAGTGGCCAGCTACTGGTCAAAGGACATTTAATCAACTACCAAGTTTGCAAACTTTATGTTTTGTTTGTTTGTTAAAAAAAATGCAATACAACTGTTTGGTTTGCTCCTGATATGATAAATAAATAACCACTGTTGTTCATCATTGCAATGATCCCACTGTCAGTAATTCTACAGAAAACAACCCTGGGCTACCAAACAGCAAGAAATTCACCAAAAATTTCCCACTTACTGTACATGGATGATCTAAGCTTTATGGAAAATCAGAAACTGAAATGCAGTCATTGACCAACACAGTCAGAATCTTCAGCACTGATATCAGTATGGAGTTCGGCCTATACAAATGTGCCACAGTGGCATTAAAGAAAGGGGAAATTACACAGAGCAAGGGCATAGAGATGCCAAACGGACAAACCATAAAGTGCAATCAGCCTGAAGCCTATAAATATCTGGGCATACTACAGTTGGACAATATCAAGCATGGGCTTGTGAAAATGTGGTCAGCAAAGAATATATCCAAAGAGTCAGAAAGGTTTTAAAGAGAAAATTAAATGGCGGAAACACGATCAAGGCTATCTACCCCTGGGCCATCCCCGTCATTAGATACACTGCTGGGGTTGTGAAGTGGACACAAGCAGAGCTGGATGATCCAGACAGAAAAACAAGGTAACTGATGACAATCCACTCCTCATGACACCCGCATAGTGATGTCGACAGACTTTACCTGGTCAGAAAATCAGGAGGCAGAGAGAGGGCTTCTGCAAGTGAAACAAACGGTAGAAGAAGAGCAACATGCCCTGGCAGATTATGTGAAAGGCAGTCAAGAACCAACATTGAGGGAAGTCCATAGCAGTAAACTGCTCAAAGTGCAAAAGACAAAGAAGGAATACCGTAAAAAGGCAGAAGAGCAGAAGAGAAAACTGACGAAAGAAGGCTCTCCATGGACAGTTCCTGGGAAAAATTGAGAGCCAAATAGACAAAGAAAAAACATGGTTGTGGCCCACAAATGGGACTTTGAAGAAGGAGACAAAGGAGGGCCTGATTCTGGCAGCCCAAGAACAAGCCATTAGAACAAATGCCATCAAAGCCAGAATTGAAATGTCGGCAACAGATCCCAAGTGTAGACTCTGCAAGGAAGCAGATGAAACAATAGATCCCATCCTCAACTGCAAGAAGATTGCACAGACAGACTACAAGCAGAGGCACAACACCGTTGCTCAGATGATTCATTGGAACTTGTGCCATAAACACCATCTGCCTGCGACAAAGAACTCGTGGGATCACAAGCCGGAAAAAGTTATAGAAAATTAAGACGTCAAATTCCTCTGGGACTTCCAGATTCAGACAAAGTTTTGGAGCACAATACTCTTGACCTCACGATCGTGTTAAAAAACAAAGTATGGATTGTCAATGTTGCAATCCCAGGTGACAGCAGAAGTGAAGAGAAACAACTGGAAAAGCTGACACAATATGAGGATTTAAAGATCAAACTGCAAAGACTCTGCCACAAGCCAATCAAGGAGGTCCCAGTGGTGATTGGCACACTGGGTGCAGTGCCTGCACTTAAACACTATTGGCGCTGATAAAATTACCATCTGCCAGCTGCAAAAGGCCACCTTACTGGGATCTGCATGCATTATTCGCCGATACATCACACAGTCCTAGACACTAGGGAAGCGTCCGACATGTGATCCAATACAACAGCCAGCAAAGTGATCTTGTCTGCTGTGGACTCAGCTTGTTGTGTTTCAAATAATAATGTATACACACAATGTATATAATATGTATATAATAAAAAAGAATGTTTTTATGATTGGCTCCCACTTCCACTGGCCACTGCAACCTCCATGAATGATGGACCTGGACCAAACTTTGCACACAGAACCCCCATGACCCACTTTAAATACTAGTGCAGTTTAAGGGATGATGGGATTTTTTAGTAATTTCAATCGCTTTGGCTCCCACAAAACATTAGAACCCCCACCATGACAGACAACACCCAAACTT